TGCGTGGCCCTGTTGCCACCACTCAGCTACACAAAATTAGATTTTTCAATTGACTTTTATTTGAGGAGCAAGGTGGAATAATGTCGGCTGAACAATAAATGCATTCTTTTGAAAAACAACAGATGTATTGGCCAGGTGAAAATTAGGGAAAGAAAGCTTAAAAAAGAAGACTAATGCAGCCATCATATCTAAAAAATGGTAAGCTGCAATATAATAAAAATGGTTGCTTTTGGGTTCAATACCACCAGGGCCGGACTGACCATTTGGAAATTCGGGCACTGCCCGAGGGCTGGGGTCAGTAGGGGGCCCCATGAGATGCCCCTGGTACCTTTTTCATAGGCTTTTTTCAGTTTGGGCAAGGACACAGGGGCCCCATAATCCCCTATTGCCCGGGGGCCCCATGAGTTTTCAGTCCGCCCCTGAATACCACTTTAATTCCCTATAAGCGTTTGTTTTGAGCTAATAAATGCATAAACAGACCTTCTCTTGTCAAAAGAACTCTCCTAGATTGTAAACTCCAAGGAGCAGGGCCCTCCTATCCCTCTTGTATTGAACTGTATTGTTGCTCTATTGTCTCCCGTTATATTGTAAACGCTGAGCAAACTGTTGGCGCTATATAAATCCTGTATAATAATAATAATAATAATAATAATAATAAAAGAACAAGCTATACTGTATCTTTTTTTACCTCTGTAAAATTGTAATGATTCAAAAAATGGAAACTTTTGTTAAATTACCATTTACTACCAAGTATTGCCCTAAAGCTTTTATGCATCCAAACCATATAACTAAATTCTTCACAGCGCACCCTCTACACGTGGATTAGAACATACAATCTCTACTAAAACAATTGCAGTCAGCTTGCAGTGAAAGCAATTTAGGGGCCCACTGAGAGCAGAAGATGAAGAGATTATCCAGATGTTAAAGATGTAATCATTTTGGAATAACATTCATTGCCAGCATCCTACGGCAAAAGGGTTAAACCACTGGCTTGCTGTATATCATTAATTCCTTCTGTAAAATAAACCAGGGCACTTGCGAATTCTCACATGTCTTATCAGACAGCGAGGGAGGGTAATCAGAATCTGAGATTCAACATGGATTAACGTGGAAGCTTTAATCTACCAGTGGGGACAGCAACACATGGCGGAGCAGAGCATCTTGACCTGATAGGGAACGATAACAACCCTCCTATGCGTTTAAAACCTGGAGATATATCAGCATGGAGCACAGTGATTAAAAGAAGGAGGGCGACCTTCCAGTTGTAGTGTACAAAAAACTGAAAGCATGTTCACACACTGCACTTACCTACTCAGAAACTAGTTAATATGTATACCAACAAGAGGAGGTTAACAGTCTGGCAGGATCGGGTGCCTGCTGAGAAAATTGTCTCCTGTTCATTTTAGTCATCCAAGTGACTACAGGGATTCGGTGTTAAAGACAAAGTAATACGGGATCCTATGAAGTCTATAATGTGCACCTTTCTGAGAGGTTTCTATAGTCTTGCTAACCCTAAATAGATCCTAAATGTGCTGCATGGACTGAAATGAGGTTTCTTTTCGCTGGAATTTCTCATTCTCAGAACTGACTTTAGGTTCAACTTATTTATTTTAGGTACTTATATAGCGCCGTCAATTTACGCAGCGCTTTACATATATATTGTTTGCATGTTCTCCCTGTGCCTGCGTGGGTTTCCTCTGGGTACGCCAGTTTCCTTCCACACTCCAAAGACATGCTGGTAGGTTAATTGGATCCTGTCTAAATTGGCCCTAGTATATGTATGTATGAATGTGAGTTAGGGACCTTAGATTGTACACCCCTTGAGGGTCAGGGACTGATGTGAAGGTAAAATATATATGTAAAGCACTGCGTAAATTGACGGCGCCATAATACCTATAATAAATAAATATTGTACATTCACATCAGTCTCTAACCCTCAAGGGGTGTACAATCTAAAGTCCCTAACTCACATTCATACATACACAGGGGCGGACTGCCACTCATGGGGCCCCCGGGCAATAAGGGTTCATGGGGCCCGTGTCCTTGCCCACACTCAAAAAAACACACCCAAAAAAGCCTATAAAAGGCATTTCATGGGGCCCCCTACTGACCCCAGGCCCTTGGGCAGTGCCCAAGTGTTCAAATGGTCAGTCCGCCCCTGTACATACACATACTAGGGGCAATTTAGACAGGAGCCAATTCACCTACCAGCAGGTCTTTGGAGTGTGGGAGGAAACTGGAGGAAACCCACAGAGGAACAGGGAGAACATGCAAACTCCAGGCAGGTGGCATTGTGTTTGGGATTTGAACCAATGACCCTAGTACTGCCAGGTGGAAGTGCTAACCATTTAGCAACTGTGCTGCTAAACTCTTAGTCCTCACACACACTGTACGTTTTGACAATGCTGGTAATGTTAGCTGTGTAAAGTCACGTTAAAACCACGTTAGCCGCGATTAGCGGCGTTTTCCCACATTTGCATTTTTAGCGTGTTTTTGTCCAAAAAAAATGTCCCAAAAATGCCAATTAGAGGCAGTTTACCGTGTTTTACTGCGTTTTTTCAGCCTTAGAATTGTTTTACAGCTAAAAAACTCCTTTAGAAATCCACTACTTTTGATAACGCTTTTGCGTTTTTTAGCGTGTTTTTGTCCAAAAAAAGTCCAAAAACGCTGGTTTGAGGCGTTTTACCGCGTTTTACCGTGTTTTGCAGCGTTTTTCAGTGTTAGAGCGGTTTTACAGCTAAAAAACTCCTCTAGAAACCCACTAGTCTTGGTTTTTTTTCCAGCCAAAAAACGGCCCTGCCAAAAAACGTTGATTGCATGAGGACTCAGAGTCCAACTCTGGGGAACTTGGGCATAATCACTTGCAGTCAGCCTGCACCTGCACTGCAAGGGTTAGGCTCCATGCACACTGGGTATTTTAATAACGCTGGTAACGTTAGCTGTGTAAAATCACATTTTTTTCCATGTTTTTTAGCATTTCTGTATTAGCGTTTTGCCGCGTTCTTTCGCATTTGTGATCTTTAAGTTTTTTTTTTGTTAAAAAAATGGCCAAAAACGCTAGTTTGCCGCATATTACGGAGTTTTACCGCATTTTTCAGCATTAGAGTGTTTTTAAAGCTAAAAAACTCCCCTAGAAATCCACTAGTCCTGGGGGTTTTTTCCAGCCAAAAAACATCCCTGCCAAAAAACATTGATTACAGTCTGTGTGTGCACGGACACATAGAATAACATGCTGGGGAGTTTACTGGATGTAGAAAAAATTGTCAAAGCCAAAAACAGCAGCTGTAAAAACGTCCAGTGTGCGTGAGGACTTAATTCCTCATTTAGGTCTTAGGAACTTGTTAAAGCAAACATTTAAACTGTTACTAAACCCACAACAGTAAAATCAGTCTGTATATGCAGTAAAACATGCTTGTTATACTCACTTTGTAACCGAAGGCGTTAATCCTCTGCATTGTGTAAAAAGGCTGTTTGATCCTGTCTTCTCTGATCCTCCTCTTCTTCAAATGTCCACTCTGATAAGACAGACTGAACCCGTAGCCCTTCTGCACATGCTCAGTTTAGTGTGTATTGCTAGAGAGGGGTTTTTTTTTTCTTGGGAGAGTGCATGTGATCAGCACAGGGCCAATCAGCACTGTCCAAACAGAGGGTCAGGGGTTTTGCATCCCTCCTAGAGCAGAAAGAAAACTCCTCCTACAAGCTTTAACCAGTGCTCTGCTGAAGTCACAAGCTATATACTGCTGATGAGAAAAGGTATTTACCAGTTCATATTTACTAAAACAATTGCATTTCCATGTTGTGTGTACTGTGGGAGACCGGATATAGTGAATGCAGTGTCCTGGGTTTAGTAACACTTTAAAGCTCCATGCACACAAGCGTTTTTTTTTTTTAAGCTCAAAACGCTGAATAAAAAACACTGGTAATGGTTTTTTTTTTTAATAGCGTTTAGGAGCTTTAGCATTTTATTAGCGTTTTTATAGTACATGTAGAAAAAAAAAAAGAAGAAAAAGCTAGAAAAAGCGGTAGCATGAAGTTGCACAGATGTCAGCCAAGCAGCTCATGAAATCTAACTGACCAGCGGCTTTCAAGTGAAGTGAAGTAGAGCGATTTCAAAGCCACTTTCAGTGTGAACCAGGGCTTAGTTAGGTTTTGCCTGAACTCCTACTTAAGGCTAGGTTCACACCTATGCAGTTTGCGTTTGATCCATTTCTGCAGTGCATTTTGTGGTGCGTTTTTGATGCATTTTGTGGGTGGTTTTTTAGGGGTTTTTTTCTTGTTGCTAGGCAGATTAAAATGCAAAACACATTTAAAAAAATCAAAAACACATAAAAAATGCACTACATGCTTATCTGCAGTGTCTCCATTGAAGCCTATAGAACCAAAAACACAATGTTTTGCGTTTAACCACTTGCCTACAGGGCACTTATACCCCCTTCCTGCCTAGGCCAATTTCCAGCTTTCAGCGCTGTCACACTTTGAATGACAATTGCGCGGTCATGCAACATTGTACTCATATGAACGTTTTATCATTTTTTTGAGACAGATAGAGCTTTCTTTTGGTGGTATTTAATCACCTCTGGGATTTTTATTTTTTCTTAAACAAACCAAAAACCACTGAAAATTTTGAAAGTTGAAGTTTTTTCTTAGTTTTTGTTATACAATTTTGTAAATAAGTGATTTTTCTCCTTCACTGATGTGCGCTAATGAGGCTGCAGTGATGGGTTCTGATAGGCTGCACTGATGGACACTGATAGGTGGCACTGATGGGCACTGATGAGGAGGCACTGGTAGGTTGCACTGATGGGCATTGACAGGCATCACTGATGGGCACTGAAAGGCAGCACTGATACATGACACTGATACATCACACTGATATATGGCACTGATAGGCGGCACTGATAGGCAGCACTGACTGGCACTGATAGGCGGCACTGACTGGCACTGTTAGGCAGCACTGACTGGCACTGATATGCGGCACTGACTGGCACTGATAGGCGACACTGACTGGCACTGATAGGCGACACTGACTGGCACTGATTGGCAGCACTGATAGGTGGCACTGGTTGGCATTGATAGGTGGCACTGACACTGAAAGGCAGCTCAGATGGGCACTGATATGTGGCATTGATGTGCACTGGCATGCACTGATATGTGGCATTGATGTGGCACTGATGGGCACTGGCACGTGGCACTGATGGGCACTGGCACTGATGAGAATTGGCAGGTGGTGGGGCACACTGATCTGGGGCCACACTGATCATCAGTGCACTGATGATCAGTGTACATGTCCCCTCCGCGGAAAGCCAGTTACCGGCTCTCCTCTCCTCTCGAGCTGTCAGCGGAGGAGAGAAATGCTGATAACCGGCATTTCCGTGTTTACATGTGATCAGCTGTGATTGGACACAGCTGATCACATGACCGAGCCGACATCTTCGGCTCTTTCCGTGATGCTGCGCTGCGCTGCGCTCTCCCTGAGCCGTGCATGCGAAGTGAGGATGGTAGGACGTCATATGACGTCCTATCAGAACGAGAGAACCACCTTGCGCCCATCATTGTACTATAGGGCGGGCGGAAGGTGGTTAAAAAGTCCCTGACCCTTTCCAAAAAACACACTGGGTGAAAACGCGGAGATGTGAACATGTCCCATAGGAAATTATGTTAAATAGACTGTAGTGTGTTTCTGCAAAATGCTGCAGAAAACGCTTAGGTGTGAACCTAGACTTAGAGACCAGAAAACGCAAAGAGTCATACGTAAAGGTAGGCCTGGAGCAAAAAAGAAAATAAGCACAGGGACAGAGATGATGGGGTGAATAGTGGGACAACCTAGTAAGGGTAGAAAATGAAGGAAGATTGGAAATTCAAAGTAGAGCTTACCTGATTAGAGGGCTGATTTCTGGGAGGGGTCACAGGAAGGTGGGGGTGGGGGAGTGTTGAACCACAGGAGTCCAGTCGGTGAAATTACAGAAGAGGAGAAGCTTCCCACCCTCCCTCCCTATCAATCTTGTGCTTGGGTTGTCAAGGCAGCTTGGCGGTGCTTGGTCTTTGGAGGAGGAAAGAATTATGGATATAAAATGGTTCGTGACCCATCGGTGGTATGGGGACCTCAGTGCATTCCTGTTAACAGGGGTTAACTCGGAATATGTCAAATGGAGGTCACTGCGGATAAGTAGGGTTATCTCTGAGCCGGTGTGTTGCGGCCGGGGATAAGTAGGATTGTCTCTGAGCCGGTGGGTTGCGGCTGGGGGCCTAAGTTTAAGAAAAAGTTTTCTGCAAAAAGATAAGTTGGGTTTGTTGCCCTCAAAAAAACAGCAAGTTTTTCCTCTGTTTCTATTTTAGGAATGTTATTAAATTGAAATCATTTATTGGTTAATAAAAGGCTGCTATCCCCATTCTGACTCCAAACCTGGTTTGTGTCCTTTTTTGAAGATCTGGGGTGGTGGAGGGTATGGCCCAGTAGGCCAGGTTTCTGGATGGAAGGCATATGTCCTACCCTTGTCAAGTCAGTTGGCTGGTCTAAGGGGAGACAACTCCAAAGGTCAGGTAAGTGTTTTTTTTTTTAATAAAACCATTAACTGGCCTAAAGTCGTTTTTTGGCGTTAGGTCCACGGTTATGCACCTAAATGTTTGTATGCGATAAGGCAGCTGTACACTCATCTCTGTTTGAAATAGCTGCTGTACATTTTGGCATAACTGCGTGGTAACGAAATATGAAATTTATAGAACAGCAAAAGAACAATTTTGCTGTCTAAAAAAATGAAAGCCCCTGTTAGGATAGAGAGACAGCCATTGGCACTCTGATACCCAACAGATCACTCCCAATTCAACTTTAAATCTTCCGAATTCATTATCCTCTAAGTACTTATATTTGAACAAGTAAGTTAAATCAGAAGTAAAAGTGTTTTGTGCACTCCCGCCAATGCTTACTTTAACACGTTTATGATGCCTGCCTCTTTTACCTTCCACTTACAGTGCATTACAGGTCATTATAATCATTGTCTGCATTCAGCTTCCTGTCATTAACGGTACATCAGTGTCTAAGCAGATAGAAATATTAATGTTTTTAGTGCTTCCTGGGCTGCTTTGAAATAGCTTTTTATCAAAGTGGCACCCGGCTTATCCTTTCATTATGAGAGAGTAATCAGTGTATGGTAGGATATCTTTAGCAAATCTTCGACTTGATGTGACCTTGATAACCCCAGGGAGAGGCAGAAGCCAGAGGTGATAATCTGATTGCAGGGAAAGTGACAGCAGATACACTAAACAGAGTGCAGCTTCTATTTAAATAAAGACACCTGTTTACTGCCAGAGGCTACTATCTGTAAATGAATTATGATCCCCTCTCATGGGGAATTCACTATTCCACTGAAGCAATGGTGGAAGTAATTCCTTCATTAATTGGACAATATCACTGAAAAATGATATGTAACTTCTTACTTGGGGAAGTTTATTCTGCCACTGCGTGTAGACCCCAGGCAACTGTCTGCTTGGCTTACTATTTTTGTTCATTTTATTCCTGCTGATCAGTTTGTCCCCTTGCGTTGTTGAGTTCCTAAACAAAATGTTCCTCTTATTTTCCACAATGTGGTTTTGCCTTCTTCAGCAGACCTGCCAATGTAATCTGGGGACTGGGGCAGAACAGTGGCTAAATGGTTAGCATTTCCACCTGGCAGCACTAGGGTTCAAATCCCAATCATGGCACCAACCACCTCCCTGGAGTTTGCATGTTCTCCCTGTGTCTGCATGGGTTTCCCCTGTGTACTCCGGTTTCTTCCCACACTCCAAAGATATGCTGGTAGGTTAATTTTATCCTGTCTAAATTGGCCCAAGTATGTGTATGTATGAATGTAAGTTAGGGACTTAAGATTGTATACCCCTTGAGGGTCAGGGACTGATGTGAATGTACAATATGTATGTAAAGCACTGTGTAAATTGACAGCACTATATAAGTACCTGTAATAATAAAATACTGGGAAGATGGGTCTTTACTAGATTTGGCCACATACACATATCAACTGAGGGTTGGTTCCTGTGTTTAAAGGAGAAGTACAGCCAAAGAGTCTTTGGCTATACCTCTCCTGGGGCTCACAGAAGTTCTGTACTTCTGTGATCCAGAGTCAGCCCACTGTTGGCTGATATCACAGAGCCAGTCCAGGTCCTGACAATAATGTTGGAATCCATCTAGATGGCTGACCAGCAGCTGTCTCAGTCTCTCAGTGTGCTACCGAGAGCCTGAACCAGCCCTCCTGCCTCTTCCCCAGTTCAGCACTCCAGTGAGCACTGGATGGGTAGAGCACAGAGCAGTTATATTGACAAAAAGTATGTTTTTAAGACCCTCTTACTTTTCTAAGTGTAGATGTATATTTATCTGAGAGTTCATACACCAGTTCATTTATTACCCTAATTTTGTTATTGTTTTTAATATCCAATATTGTACATGTGTGGTAGATCTTTTTACAAAGTGTGAAATGTTTACACACTATTATTTTAATTTATTAGCATTGTATTCTCACTATTTTACTGTAATTTACCTCCTGTGTAATGATGGATTGGATCCAGCAGCTGCATGGCTGCTTACTCAATCCTACCTGGCTCTTACCCTGAGCCACACTTTGCATTGATATTTACCACCCTTAACATTGCTATTCTCAACTTGTGTTTTTCCATTGCTGTCACCAGTTCCATGGCTGGCTCTTCCCAGTCCCATCTGATTGGCTCTAGCCAGCCGCCCTGATAGCTCCTAAATTCAATCTTTTCCCCAGATGGGCCAGCCTGAAAAAAGAGGCAGGACCTCGGAAACGCGTTGCCCCCCCAGGGCCTTTCACATTTTCCTGTCTGCCTTCCTGTTAGTGTGCTGTTAGTACCATCTTACAGAAGGTCCCTGCTTGTGCCCTGCAGTCCTATAAATCCATCCAGATTGCGGTGAGCTGTATATCGCACCACCACTCTGCCAGTCAGAGCAGTCTACAGGTCTTTCAGATGTAAGTGAGAAATGGCATTAAAGTGTTGTTTTTAACCATACACTAATCTGGCGCCCTGTTTCCTTTGTAAAGCACAGAGCAGTGACTGACCAATCTGTGCTTAGAGCACACCCAACTACAAAGTGATCAATGGTCTTCGTTTTTGGTGTAGAGCTGGCAGGCCTGAACTTCTTTTTTAAAGTTTGGATCACGCAGAGTGATTACAGTTGGCTATATACCAAAAGCAAACCTGTCACACTAAAATTCCATCTGTAGAATTAATATAATGGGAACAATGTTAAACACTAAGATGTAGAACTGGATATGTATGTCCATGCCCAGCATTCAGAGTCACTGGCCTGTTTGAATGACATACACATGGCACACACACAAAGGATCCTCTGGTGCTTGGGTCATTTTCATCTATGGAGAACTTTCCAGCTGGTGGCATCCTTGTTCTTTAAAGACCCACTCAGGGATTGGTCTAAAAAAATATTATTACCATGGCTTAGAGGGTGGGAGAACTGTTTAGTGAAAAATTAGTTTTAGCTCAGACTGGGGCTTTAAAAGTTCATAATGCCAGAGGTGCTACATTGGCTATCTAGTAACGTATTCACTGTGATTGACTGTTACAGTGGTCACATGATCAGGAACCCATCCCACTGGTTCTCGAACCAAAACAGTAACTGGGTGATACCGGTGACAGCGTGGTCACAGTTCTGCAGCCGACAATTGAGCCAGCTCCCAGAACAAAACAGCTACACTGGCTGTAGCCACACGTGGCAGCAAGGCATTAAAGCTCACTGCCATGCTGACACATATTTGAGTAAATCCCAGAGGAAGTGATAAAAGTGTAAAATGTTGTGCTCTGAAAGTGCATGCACTTAATATATGTAATGACAGTATTCCGTTTTTATAGTTTTTTTTTGTTCATATCACATGACGATTTATATATTTGACTATTTATATTTTTCCAAGACATTTATATGCTGGCCAAGCTGTCCAGCAAACCAGAGAGCAATAGAGGTTGAGTCAAACTATTAGCATGGACAAGGAGTGCTTACACTAGTTTAAATCTCTTTTAAGAAAAACAAATTGTTGCTCCAACTGCTCAACCATCAGTGACTGTGTAAAAATATGTCCCAACCTCCGTCTACTTTGCTTGACAGCTTGGTCCAGCCTATCTATCTACCATTTTCCAAACTAGCCTAAAAATTTTCAGACCAGCCTAGAAACTGAATGTCATATATACCATCATTCCTCCATGGAATGATGTTAGGTATACATTACACCATAGCATAAAGAGGTGGATGGGGGGAAACTGGAGAATATGTCTGCAGTTCCTTAGCACTGCTTTCGTTGCTCCACAATATATCATTGCTATCTGGGTAGATGGTATCCATGTCTTGACCTAGAGAGCAACAGTTATCTTATTTCACCAGCAATTTTCCTTAGATGTGATTTGACTGGAAAATATTAGG